CAACTTGGACTTGTAGTGATCCTCCTGTTTTCAGCCTCCGCAGTGCTGGGATTACAGGCTTGCACCACTGTGCCCAGTCTCCATGGCCAGCTCAGTGCACCTGGGGGTGGGGCAGGCACATGTCGGGGTTTCAACCCCAGGCCCTGCACTTGCCTAAGCAGGCGTTTAGTCTGCCGAGCTATCTTGCTGGTTCTCTGCTAGACATTTCTGCGTACAGGAGTCTTCCCAGCCTTGGTCTTCTGCATAATATCGAGTTGATGCACAGGGCAGTGGTCGTAGTCTCACATGGAATTGCTCAGCCGTACTTCCAGTTAGCAGCAGTACCCTTCAGCGCGCTGGGCCTCTGCTATCGGGCCTTCGGGCTCTGACTCTCAAGTGCAGTCTCTCTGCCTCACTTGCCCCGCTGTACTCTGTGTATCTAATACCTCTGCCGGAACGAAAGGCCAGGCCCAGCTCTCCCGCCTGCTCGCAGCTTTCTTTTGTGTTGGAGAAATATTGAAGCCCTTAAGGAACTGGATAGAATGTGATGTACTACTACGGTGCAACTAACACTATACAGAATGGAAGCAAAAGTAGCTCTTCAGATACATGTCCTGTAAACTTTTACATGCTGTACATGATCCAACTTTGTCTGGACAGTCAAATTATCTTATTTCCAGATATTTTTCTCAAATGTTGAGAGAACAGAATTTAATTTTTTCCATTTTGTAGCTCTAGACAGGGGACTGTGAATCTTCTTGAGTCAAATTGCTACATCTTACTAACTTCCTGCACTGTGGTGTCTCTGCAGAATAATCACAAATACTCCCGCTGCTCACGCCAGTGTCTTAACCCAGCAAAACTCCTGTAAATTGGAAATACTGTAAGATGAAAATAATTCTGATACACCTAACTTACTGAGCCCCAAATGCCTGGTCTACTTTCAGTGGTCTCAGAACACTTACCTTAGCCTTTAGTTAAAAGGTAAAGGTAAAAAGGTAAAATTACCTTTTTAAAGTGACATTAAAAAGTTCTTAATGTCTCCTGTAAGTTACTGAATAAGGTGTGCAGTGGCGGCACACCTTCTAGAAACAGCATACAAACTGCAACCCAAAACTCACTTCTTTATTGCAAAGTGCCAACACTGCAATGTAACCCAAGTACTGAGGTTTTCATTTAGGGGGAAAAAACCCTCATACACTTGGCTGGCATCCCAGAGAGGGTTCTGTACGGCCACTGCAGCACCTATGTCACAGGTCTGCCACCACCACTGCCTTAGTGTGGCACTTGTTCACCCTTACCACTCAGCATCGAAGAGAGAGTATGTTAGTGCATTTCTACAAGCCCAGGGAAAGGTCAAAATTCAGAACTTGCAGTGCAGTTCCTATTGAATGTGGATTACTTTTGTACCGTGGTAAAGTCAGGAAATTCAGGGTCAAATCACCATAAGTTGGTGACCATCTGTACTTGTGTCTCTTTAAGGACTCTTAGTCATTAGATAGTTGGCTTAAATAACTGAAGACCATTTTGCTAAGCTTGTTCACTAAATTCCCTTTTGGTGTTTTTATTTAACAGAGCACATTAATATACTAGATGAACATACTAAGGACTTTTGAAATGTTATACAATGAAAACCAAGACTAGAGCGCTGCACAGTACAAGTTGATGAGCGATTATTTTGTCTCTGGTCAGCTATGTGGGCATTTAAAACTGCACAGCAGGGCCTGATTAAATTTATTTTGCTTGTTTAAAATGCGTTTTATTTTGTCAAATGAATCTCAGTAATTACCAAAAAGAAAAATGAACCTAATTTCTTTATTATGACCTCCAGCCAGAATGATGAACAGTATTTAATTTTGGAAAAGTATTCTTTAAAAGCCAGTATGTCAAATTACTGAGATCTCTCTTTGACTAGACTTTATAGTTCAGCATAAAACATACTCTGAATTTCCCGAAACCTTGAATTATATGAGATAAAAAATAATGTTCTCCTTGTATACAAATCTTGTCAATGTATTATCCTGGTGCCTGCAAAGTACTTGTAAAGAAATGTAAATTACAGTAGTTCCCAGGTCTTGCTTTCTGTACCACTGCTCTCCTTTCACCAAAATGCACGTCACCTACCAATGCTTAAGCCTTTCTCATTACAAAGGGAAGATATGGCACCCTGCTTCATAAGCATGCTTCTGTGCTTCCTCTTCCTGTCACCTCCCTGAGGTACTCTCTAGTCCCTGACCCCAGATACATTTTCACTTAAAAAGAACCTGGGGATTCTTAAAACATTCCAAAGCCCATGTCACAGTCCAGACAAATTAAGTCGCGTGCTAGGGACAGGGATAGCAACAGTTTTTGAAAGTCCCCAGATGATTCTAATATGGTGGCAAATCTGAGAGCCACCTCAGTGAGGACCTGTTTCCAGGCAAACACCTGTTCCTCCATCCCATCTCTGTTCACAGGGCATGTAGGACAACCTCCCCACCGTCACAGGCTTTTCTGTCCCCCTCCTCCTGCACATTTCTACTGCAGCAGGAAGTAAAAATGGTGCGAGCACTTATTTCCCCCATTACTGTAAGATTCAGGAGTATTTTCACGCTTGAATTCCAGGCTCTAACCCTGTGCCTGTTGTCTGGAAGTACCTAATATATCCACGGAAGGAAATAACTTCTTCCTAAGAAAAGCAAAACCATAAAGTTGTGTGGATATCATCTTGGGAGAAGTAATAATCTAAGATGTTGCTCTTAACATCCTAATGTAGGCTAACATTCTAATAGTGGGAAATCCCCCTGCCTAGGAAACCTTTTTTAAAAAAAAAAATTGCTTATTTATTCATTTACTTTTGCGGTACTGGGGATTGAACACAAGACCTTGCACACACCAGGCAGGAACTTATGCTGCTGAGCTGTCTCCCAGGCTCAAAAACTTATCATACCAATAAAAAGAAAATTATACCCCCACGTCTACAAGTACAACATATAACTTTTAAATAGGTATACAATTCCATTGATAATTGTAATTAGCTCAGAAAGACATTTCCTGTGACAAGAAACCTCTTACTCCCTTTTTAACTTTGGGGGGATGCTTTGTTTCCAAACTTTCAGAAACTTACAACTTACAGAACTGATTTGAAAAGTATCAAGTACTAAGTTTGCAAAATGTATTGGTTCGTTTTGAAACAGGGCTTTGCTCTATAAGCAAACTGCAGTAACTCTCCTGCCTCAGCCTCATGAGTACTGGGATGACATGTCAGTGCTATCATATCCAGTTTAAGTCCTATGGTTTTTGTGATAATCACTGCTCAAGTGACCAGTATGACTCAGAAAACAGCCACATAGTAAATCTTGCTACAATCTAATTCTAGAGAATAAGCTCAATCTTAAAAACATTTTTTAAAAAGCCACTTAAAATATTTCGCTTTGTATCGCCTCATTATTTTTGTAGTAGTACTTCACATTCTAGCCATGCTATTTTTCTCTGCTATATTTTCATGCATGAAACCTGAAAATAAATCAGATGTAGGGACTGCATTCCATAACAATAATATAATTCTTTTTTTTTTTTTTTTTGTGGTACCAGGGATTGAACTCAGGACCTTACGCTTGCCAGGCAGGCGCTTATGCCATTGAGCTGTATCCCAGCCCTAGTAATATAATTGACTTATACACGAAATACGAGATTATATTACAAAATTAAAGACCTTATCAGTAGTCATATGCATTGATTGTATGTGAGAAAAAGTGTAATTTTCCACGTCAATGCCTATATTGCAGTCAAGCAATATTTTGGTATATTAAGTACAAGTAATTTAAAAGGCAGCACCTAGGAGGCTGAGGCAGTGCGATTACTGAGGCTAGCCTAAAATACACAATGAGTTCAGGACCAGCCTCAACTACCAGTCCTGAAATAGTCTCTTTTCTTTCCATAATGGAGTCATGACCTTTAGCTGCAAGAGTAACATCTCCAGAAACCTGTAAGCCTTGAGACAAAGCTCTGAAGGTATAATCAATTGTGAAAAGACAAAAGATCACATGCTCCTAATATTCAGTGCTAATGTCTTGGTCCCCAAAATGTCAGAGCTGTGAATGACGTAGTTATTTCAAATGAGCTTCAGGTGTAATGAACACAAAACGGATTTTTCTCTCGCTATGCAAACGAGGCATTCAGGCAGCCAAACTTCCAGCCAATGACAACTAGCATTAGATATTTATGTTTAGATCAAAACGGAGGGCAAGAAAAGCTAGCTCTTTTGGCGTCACCCAGGTGCTGGCTACCGTCCTTTCTCGATCGCCTCTCTTCATCTAGCAGTCAAGCCAGGCACAAGAACGGCCGGGCTGGCTGGAGACTCCGCTACCTCCCGGCGCCCGGCCACCCCGCGCCCAACCGGCGGGGGCGCCGCGTCCCCACCGCAGACTGGCGGGAGGGTGAGGGACAGGAGGACTGCGGGAGGCGAGGAGTGACGAAGCTCCTCGCGGGGACCGCCTCCGCTCCGAGCGGCCTCGCCTCCGTGGGTCCCAAATAAGTAAGACAAGGATCAAGACAAAAAGCCATCCACGGTCAGCCAGACGTTTCCTATTGGGGAACTTCGGGGAGCGCTGGGGCGGGGCGGGGGGGGGGAGCGCAGTGGGGAGAACCACTTGGCCAGAAAGGGGGAAGCGCACAGTGTTACCCCTACTTTGTCAGGCTCTGTAGCGGGAAAAAAGGCCTCACCGCCTCAGCCCACAGCATAACAGCCATCAGAGGCTCGAACCCCTCCCCATGACCTGGAAGGAGTGGCTCCCTCTCGTTCTCCCGCCCTCAGTTTGTCTCGCTGCCCCCCGCTGCGGAACGCTTGGTTGGGTCCGGGGCGGGGCTGGCAGGCGCTACACGTGCGGCCCGGGGCGTGGGGCGGGACGCCAGGCCTAAGAGGCGCTGAGGCAGTCGCCAATCCCCGCTGGCTGGGGGCGGGGCTCAGGGAGTCCGGGGGCGGGGCGCCAGGGGCGGAACTCGTGGGCGGGACGGGGGCGGGACTGGAGGCGGGGCTTGCGCGGAGCGCACGTCTGGCTCCCGGGCCAGGGGGCTGAGAGGAGCGGGCAGCCTCTGGGCCGGCAGGAAGAGACCGAGAGGCTGAGTGGAGTCGGACCCTGGGACTCGCGATTTTGTCGAGGTACAAGCAGGAGCGCGGCGCCTGGGGCCTCTTCGCCGGGTTCCGCGCCCTGGCCGCTCGCGGTGCCCCCTGCCGGCCGGGCGGCGGCGGGAAGGGCTTTGGGAGGTTTGTGGAGTGGCGAGTCCGGGCGGAGGCTGTGCTCCCAGCTCCGCGCCTTTCTTCTCCTCACCCTCAACCCGGGCGTCGGGGTCCGGGCGCCCAGGTCGGCTGCCGCGGGTCTCCGGACGTGGCCCCGGGCGGCTGTGCGGCGAGGCGGGAGGCCGGTGCCCCGCCGTGGTCCTCGCGGACTGTGGGACTCCCGCCGGTCGCGCCCGGCCCCCGGGATCCGCACCTGAGCCCCCGCGTTCCGGGGCGCGGCGCCTGCCGCCTGTCGTGCGCGCCCCAAGGCCGGGCAGTCGGCTTCGGAAGGAACCCAGCTGCGGTCCGCAGCGCGATGCCCCTAAAAGTGCCCAGTCTGGGGTACCGAGTGGGCGCTGGGGCCAGCTCACGCCTGCAGGGGCCTTGGGCGCGCGAGTGGGGGGCGCGGCCTGCAGACTTGGGGTCTCGGGAGGAGCGTGCGGCGCGCAGGCCGAAGACCACCGGGCTATCCTCCCGGGGAGGTCGCAGTCAGATATGGACAGCTGGGGGCCACCCAGGTGAGGTCCCCACGGAGTGAACGACACCTCGAGTCTCGGGACTGGAGACCTACTGGTGCGGCGCTTTCTGAAAGGCTTAAATAGATGGAAAGCTGTCAAAACAAGTGTATTTTAGAGTTGAAAACCGGCAGATTTTTCAGGCCAAGCGGTTGTGTAGCTAATGCCCAAAGGAATACTAGCCCTTTCACCCTTTTTCCTGCGTAGATGTATGCAACGACTCAGTTTTGCCAGCATGTCTCTCAGCAGCTGTGCAATGCCCGCAGCAGGGAAGGAAAACTTCAATAAGTGTTCTCAGGTTGCTTTGATTGCAAGCTTGTGCCGTCCTACACAATGTGGAAGAAAAATATCTCATGTAGGATTTTCCACGCAGGATTCCTTTCTTTTTTCTCTGGGACCCGGTGACCCGGTGATGTTTGTTTATTATTGGTTTTATAAGCATCTATTTAAATGTAGTTTTTGCACGAAATACTCCCTCTTGCCACAGGGTGTAGTTTGGGGATTAGAAAATGCTATTGGAGAAAGCTGCTAGTGGCTTCATTTTCCAAGAATGTAAGTCATTTCCTTTCTGTGATTTCAGGGAGTTGATATTTCACAGCATCAAAACTTTGTGGGTAAAGTTTTCCCAAACCCATCTGCCACTAAAGAGGCTTGTGACTTTGAGTTTCCTTCTTCAGAGCAGTGCATACATTTAGACCCAGCTATGTTGAAGAATAAGAAGATTTTCAGATTCTAGAGAATTAGTAGTTTTAGCAACCAAGACCTACAAATGGCTTGCAGGATAGAGAGTGGGGGAAGGGAGAAGACCAGCAAGAGGCAGGAAAACATATGCCTTCGCTGTTGTCTTCTGTAAAATTAAACTTCTAGCGCTTCATCATTTTCCTTTGGTGTGGTTTTGGGAAATAGAAGCTTTATGTTAAAAGTGAAAAAGACTGCACAATTGTCAGACAATTGACACTGAAAGCTTTTTTTCAGTGTGTTTGTAAACATATTGGATTCCTATTTCATATTAAAGTAGACCTTTGGTGGGGTTATTAGATGGAGAGGGTCCCCCAGGGGATATCCCATGTCATGTTATCTGCAGGGAATCTTCAGAAAGCAGACGGACTGTAATATGAACTAATTTTCTTCTTTTGAATTGCTTGTAAGAATCCCTGGGATCTGACACTGGGGGGCTGCAGTGACCGGCAGTTATTGCAGGGCTCATTTTAAGGGACAGGAAATCTTTCCAACCCACCCTCCCCCCTTTTGGGGGAACTTTGTAGGCTTGAGATAAGAGCTTCAAGTACTCAATTTGAACTTGGAGGTTTGAAATGCCCCAGGGTTTACAGGAAAATGTCTTGAAAACAACACAGACCAAGAAGACCATACTGCTTTTGAAAAAATACCAGTGTGCTAAGTAACTGTTTGGGGCTACAGGTTCTTTGAAAACTGTCACTCAGTTGGGCTTGTTGAATTAAGGGGTGTTGTAAAGTTTTTTCTAGTTTCTGGATTTTTACCCCCTATGCTTAACTGTACTTATAAAGCATTTTTGGCTTTCAGAACTTGTGACATAAGAGGCTGTGTAGAGTTTTGTGGCAGATGCTTGGAATGAAAGTCTCAAGCAGCATTGTTTTTGACTGAGCTGGCAGATTTAGAGTTTAGTGTAAATGAGTTCTGTCTTGCAACTAACTTTAATAATGGGATTCTTTGTAGTTTTCAACTTCGATGTTGCACATTTTTTATTTCCAAAAATGGCTTTAAAAAAAAATAAACCTGCAAACAATTATTTTATTACATAAAAGCCAGTACCAAGAAAAGATTAATTCAGTCCAGATGTAAAAATGTATGCGAATTTTAGGTTTGGATGAGCTCAACAAGTTTTCCCTTCTGTTGATGAGGCTTTCTGGGACCCAGATGGTGTTCACAAATTACCCCTTAAGTAGTTTTCTAAATTGAGACCCCAATTTCTTGAGCTTTCAGTAGGATAGAAAAGTTTTCTGGATGTATGTAGAGATGATTTTCTTCTTACTATTCATTAATATATACCTCATAAATGATCCAGTTTGGGACATAAAGCCTATTTCTTAAGTGGGAAAACAGGAATTGTGTATCATTATGGGCAAAGTTAGTGCCTTTGCTTTCATTTATGCAATTAAAACTTTCTTCTTTTATAGAGGAAATTAAAGTTCTAGGTGTGTTTATAATCTGCAGTAGAATCCTGTTGTACTATAGTTTGTTGTGGTTGCTGGTGTATCAGGTTGGTCCTTATAGGATGATCCTCGACTGTCTATTTACCTCATTCGCATCCCAACAAGAAACAACAAACACAACTTACAAGAAAAAAAAAAATTTAATCTATACTCCCAACACCAGAATTATAAAAGATATCTGTTATGCCCTAACAATTTTATGTATCTTAGGAAGTCTTTGTATGTTTGTATAATTGCACATTTTGGAATTGTGCTACACTATGATTGTGTATACAACAGAGGGAGAGTAGCAAACACTTAATGGAGGAATTTTATAGTGAGATTTTAGTTATAATGTACCTTCCTTAAACCCAAGAAGGACAAATGGTATTGTTGACTTCTGTGGTTGAACTTTGATGTGGAGGGTAGTTGAGAGGGCTTTTTGAATTGCACACTATCCTGGAGAAGTTTTGGGGGCCTATAAAAATAAGTAGAGTTAAGGGGTAATTTGAGAGGAAGGTGGAAGTGGGATACTGGCTATTAGATTGCAAGGAAAATGTAAACTTGGAAGGAAAAGTATTTAAAACAAGGCTGAGGTGGGGAGAACTTGCAATTAGGTGGAAATGAAAGAATAAGATCTTTTGTAGTTGAGGAAAAAGGATTAAATGATTAGAAACGAGGTACCCCAATGTCTGTACCCAGGATGGGAATGGGCTACTAATTTATATTTATCCTGGAAACCTTGCCTGCAATATTGTTGAATCACTAGTTTGATGTCAATTAACGTGCTGGGTTGAATACTTATTACTGTTCCCCACCCCCTCAGAAAGCTACTTACTCTTTCAAAGATTGGAAATATATTTTGTCTAAGTTCTAATGATTCTACAAATACAGTATTTAATTAGCCCCCCACACACATTTGAGGAACTATGAATACCTGTCTGCTATTCTGTAGGACCAAAAGGGACCCTGCAGCAATAATAACTAATGCTACAGGATTATAAAGTATTGAATAAAAAGAAGTAGTCTCTCCTGAATACTTAACACGAGGTATAATTACTACTGGCACAAGCTTGTGTACTACACTTGCAAGTTTGTATACTGTCACTTTTTATGAGAATCAAATGGACCAATCATCACGCAGTTCACTATGTTGCTCAAAGAGGGATTGCAGAACCCTGAAAAGGGGAAAGAAATCACTGCTCTGCCATCTATTTGTATTACTCCAGGCAGGCAAAAGTGTGTGGAAACAAATTTACATCCAGTCCCAAGGAGAAGGAATTGTTTACCTGGAGTTGTCTGTAGCACAGAATTTCCTTGAATGTCTTTCTCTACCTGCGTGGCCGTTCCCAGCAGAATTCAACCTGTACAGCAGAGCTTGGCCATTACTCCGGTCATTGTATTAATGTGCTAATAACTGGGTGGATGCTGCCCAGATGTGTGCTCTAGAAACTTTGTATTCCAACTGAATCATCCTGAGACATCCTCAGATGTTTTCCAACAATATGAAATATTTTATTTAAAGCAGTATTTTATATCAGAGCCACAGTTTCATGTGAGAGATGAAGTTATAAAAATAGAACAAATTTCAGCAGCAGCAGCTCTTGGGAAATGAAGTTTCTCACTGAGCTTTTCAGGTGGTTCTCTCTCTGGTCACATTAAATGAAATTAATTAATTTTCTCCCCACAGGTAGCAGCACTTATGCTATACAGTTTCAGTAGATTTTTTTCCCTTCTGGGCCTTGCTTTATTTATTTGAACTTGTTATTGAATTAAAACACAACCAGAAAAATGTACAGGTCAGAAGCGTACAACATGGAGCAATCACAGAGAGGTAGCATTCAAATCAAGAGACAGAACTTTCCCAGCTACAGTCATCATTCCTACCCCAAGGGTAATGGCTCCCTTGATTTCTCATGTCATAGCTTAGTTTTGATCTGCTTTTGGATTGCATTTAAATGAAATCAAATATAAGGCTGTTTTTGGCTTATTTTTGGGTGTGTTCTTTAGTGCAAAGTAATGTCATCTAGTAAGTCCAAATTGATGAAAGTAGAAGCAGTGTTTGTTTCTTTACTTTTATGAATGAATATACTGAGTTTGAATGTACATGAATGTACATCAACTTATTTTGTTGATGGACATTTCAGCAGCTTTGGGCTACTATATAGCAGATAACCCTTTGATAACTCTAAAGAAA